AATGTAGTTGTTTATGTTAAAAACAAAAAGAAAGCACTGTTATGGAAAAAATAGCTCAAAGTGAATAGTGACTAAAAGAGTATTTACTTCACTCTTACATAGTTATAGTTGAGATAATCACAAAATCACTTAGAGGGATTTTTAAAATTAGTTTTTTCTTGCAAACAGCTGCTACAAGATGAAACACTGACAAAGATTAAAAGTCAAAATTTTCATATAAACAATCAGGTCTGTTGCATAATAAAGGGCGCAAGACAAATGAAAGCCAGGGATAAAATGCAGAGATTTATTTCATGCCAATAAAGATAATTTGAGCCAAACTTAGAAAGCAAGAGAGGGTTAAGAGACAAAAAATGTGAATACAAAAGAAAGATTGAGAGAGATGGCAAGACAGGGGCACACACAGAAGAGAGAGCTGCTGGCGTAATAAAGCAGGCCATTCATCTTGCAGCATGATGGGACTTAATCAAGTTATGATTAATGTGTTACAGCTGCCATTATCTTTTCAATGAAGTCTGTATTCTTCTGTCCAAGCCCCCGAGGTACACAGGAACACACAAACACATGCAAACCACAGCAGATACGGGGGTTTGTCATGTGAGTCATGCACACACTGGAAAGCAGCATACACAGATGTCATGGTACACACTGTGAGTAACAGAAGGCTCCTCACGTGCATTCACACACACAGTTGTGTTTTCATATCTTTGTGGGGACATCTAATTGACATAACGCTTTCCATAGTCGCTTACCCCTAACAAAAACCATCAAAAATGAATGCCTGACCCTGACCCAAACCTAACTGTAACTTTGACACTAAAACTACATTTTGAGTTTCCAAAAATCCCTTCAAACCTGTGGGGATGGGGATTTTGTCTTCATAAAGGCTGTTGGTCCCCACAAGTATAGTGAACTTTCAATTGTGGTCCCCACACAGATATGCAAACCTGGTATACACACGTGCACATACACAGACAGCAGAGACAACACACAGAAGTACCACACAAACATCCAACGATTTTCAGGTAGACACTGTGCATCATAAAAGATGAGAGTGCACACACAGACACAGAAGTGAGTGATAAGGTGTTGAATAAAAATGGCAGCAATTAATTGCATTTCTTTGTTAGGGTAATTTGATATGCTCCACAGGCTGGGCCCTTAATCAACACCTCAGAATTACTAATCAAAATATTCCTGTCAGACTTGTCTGATAGTTTACTAGTCTGTGTGCTTTCTGTTGTGCATCTCAGTAGCTGTGAGTCAGAATACTTTGTGAATGAATTTTAGTCAAAAAATAGTTTCCAATAATCTTTGTTATTTTTCCATGTGCCATTGTTGTGCTCTGATCTTTGGGGGTTTTAAGGTATAAAACATTAACTCTGAGGTTTGGAGTCATGAGCCATAATTTGTAATGTAACCGATAAATGGTCATACTGTTGTTACATTATCCTCTAACCTGTTATTTTCTCATATAAGAAATAATAACACAAATATCTGTATTTAATAACCTATAGGTATGAGCAGCTGTGTTGCAATAAATTTCATTTAATGCAACACAGCCACCCTTTCATTTAAGTATATTTTTAGGAAATGTTTTGTAGGAAATGTAGGAAATTCTTTTAATCTTCTAACAGCCAAAAAGGGGCCAAAACAACAAAATAACTTTAATATTTTTAAATATTGGGCATTGAAATGTGGATAAGTGTGGAGTTTTTAAATATAACCCTTTCAACCTCAGAAGGACTGGTCTTTGTTGTGTTTGTCATGTCACTGTTATATGGCTTTAAAAATAGCAGAAAAGGTTGGAAACTTCCCATACTGTGGGTTTTCCTTAAACTGTTGGATGTTATAGAGAGAGATGGATAATGGCAGCCAATTCTCAAGTGTAAAAGAACTAGCTGTGGCACATCCATCTTTGTTAGATTCAATTTGTGGCTGTAAATGGTGGAACTTTGCAGAATTCTTTTTCCAAAATGCTTTTTTTCAGTTGAGGGGCATCAGACTGAGGCAACTGTAAAAGCGTCCTGCAGTTGTCAGACTCATTTCTGCCTTACCTCACAGGCATTTACCCAACACTGCCATTCACAATGACTTACAGTGAGTCCAAAACCAACACAAGCTTAACTTTTATGTAAGCCAACATTATGTTCATCCAAGAACAATCAGAATTAAGGTCAACATACAATAAATGATCAGAATCAGATTCAGAATACTTTAATAATCCCTAAGAAAACGTTGTAGTGTCAGTTGCTCCAAGACCATAAGAACAGTAACAGACTGGACTAAAATAAATAATACAATATATTACAAAGTTACAAAATTTAAGAAATGACTCTAATATATACAAAAAGCTCAATTATAAATATCCAGAATATTACAAATATATATGACATTTTACTCTAAACTGTAAAACTCTACTCATATATGTACGTAAATAGTAAGTAGCCATGAAGTAAAAATGAAAGGTGGACAGAAAAATCTGAAGTTAAAGGCCTTATCCTGTCCTTGACCTAAACAAAAGCAGGACTTGGCAGCAAAGCTTACTGATTTATGTTTTGGGAACTAGCTTCCTAAAATGAGACTAGAGAAAGAGATTAAAGTCTCCAAACCAAGAGTAACAAGTATGCACACAGACACAAATGCACACATAGAAGCACACATGAATTCTTGCACATTGCAGTTGGTTGTCCCTTCTGGCACACTGTCTCTTTCTTCTTATCATTTAGAGCAATTCACACCCCTCAGTGTATGTACGTGCAACTGTGTGTAAGTATTGTGTTCAAGGGTCTAGTGCATGTGTCTGTGTGTAACTGCATGTTTCTGCTTTTATGTGTAACGCATTGTGTGAATTGGTGAGTTCGACTGTTTGACAGCTTCACTCCCAGATGAGATGTCTGACACCTCTTCTCTGTCTGTGTACCTCCATGAAGACATGTGAAAGCCTGCCTCATCCTGAAAACCCCACTGATACACTCACACTCTTGTTACTAGGTAGATTTTAATGAGTCAACTGTCTTTGTACACAAGTAGTCCTGTCTGCGCTTCCCTGTACAGACAGGATCCTCATTGCTCAGTATCTTTTGACCCCACAGTTTATAATTTGATTAACAACCTTTTACACTGATAACCATTCACTTCACTTCACTCCAACTCATTGGATTTGAAATGCAGTGTACTCAAGCTGTTCGGAAACACAGTTTTTATTTTTCAAAAAAAAAAAAACTGCAGTCCATAATAAAATATTTGTGATCAGTGATCAGATTTAGTCCATCAGTTATTCAAATATTCCATTGGCAGAATTTCTTAATTCACAACACAATCATTAAACAGTTTTGATTAATTAAAAACTAAAGCATTGAGGACATTGCTTTATAATAGACTAATAGATAGTAAAGTAATCCACCTTGAGATTAATAAATCCAGAAGAAATCACATCTTCTGAGCAAGTGTCAATACAGTCAACTGATCTTAGTTGAACTTAAGGGTTGAAAGTAAAGTTGTGTTCATTACAATCAAAGAACAGGATGGATACCAAATGTCTGGAAGAAGACATCATTTACTGTAAAATATCCTTAAATGATAAATACACAAAATGCGAGTCTTGCTGAACTTTGAATCAAATCATTAACACAGATAAAAGTTTCTCCCTTACTAGAGACAGTTGGTCCATTGACATTGAATTGGTAATTGACTTTGTAAGCTAATAAAATTTTATGTTTGAGGCTTTTCATTCCAGTGAGTTTGATTTGGATGTAGCGTTCCCAGCAGTGAGCCAGAAAATCTGCCCATAGCCCAAGAAAATCTCAGTGGCTGCTGTCTTTTTTTTAATCTCAGCAGTTGTTCCATTATTCACTGACTACAGGGTGCTTCAAGATGTATCTCTACATGACATTATTACAGCTTGTCTGTCTCCCATTCATCTTAGGATGACACTGGGTTCATTTTACAAATTACAGCTGAGCTGCACAATAATATGGCAATACCTAAAAGTCGTAGGTTGTCGTTAAACTTTCAATACGCGTAGTTGATGTTGAACTGCTAATTAAGACACATTTCTCAGGAAATCACATTACGTATGACGTTATGTCCTCATTTTCATGTGATAAAATATCAATATCCGCTGGACGAGACTATATCTATGTTAAAAGAATAATTCTTTTAAAATAAGAATTCTTTTAACATAGACTGGTATTGCTGCATGTCAGCAAAATATTTCATTCTTTCACACTATAAGAAATATTGTGAAATATCCTATCATACCTAATAGTTGCAAATGTCCTCCATTCATCAAGTTTTCCAGATCAAACAGTGTTTCTCACACTGCCTCAAAGGGAGAAAAAAGCCTATAATTAAATTTCAGGTAATTGAATATTTCTACCTTCTGAGACATTTGAAACTTTTGGACTCAAGAAATTTAATTAAATCATGAGAAGCTGAACTGTAATTTAGTGTAATTTAATATACCTCTCTTTACTTCTGATTCTGATTCCATAGTTCTTTTTACTCCCTCCCTTTAATATTTAGAGTCACTGAACCTGAGATGTGCTATTTAGTCATTACATTGCACATCGGCCTTTTTGCTTATGTCTATCTCAATTTGTGTTTTTCAACTGGTACTCTGTATTCGAGTGCTAACTGCTCTTTTGGGGATTATTAGAAATGGACTCAATGATTGTGTGGATTCATTTTCTGGAAAGTTGACTTTCTTTACAACCTAAGACATTTTAGTGAGATTGACAATTAGATGGTAATGTCAGAAAACAATGAACATTTTTATTTTATTGTAATATTGTAATATAATTACTATAAATACATTTCATACTTCTAAAATAGTTTATAATCTCTGCTGTAATACCTATACTTTATTAATACTTTTGTCACATACATATGTTTGTGAACCAGTTATTTGAATATAATTGTATGTACATTCTTCAGATATGAGTACATATTTGTGTTGTAATGTATTATTATACTTTATGTACTTGGTGTCTTTTCAGTTCCTGGATCAGTGCCTATGGAATCTCTGCAGAATACGCCATATGAAGAAAAGATCTTCATGCAGTGGAAAGCTCCCAACGAGACCAATGGAATCATCAAATTGTATGAGGTCAGTGAAAGACTTCAAAGAACATCAATGGGAGTTATAAAAATGAGCAGATGCACGGGTAGATAGATTGAAGGAAGGACGAAAGCAAGGGAGGGAGGAAGGAAACATCCAGTTGCTTACAAAACATCAAACACAAAAAATAACAAATACAGATGTAATTGGGCACACCACAGTAATATTGTAACAGAATTATGGAAAGGTGAAAAACTTGTAGTGATGTAACAGTTTCAAATTATTCTAACCACTGTGCATAGTGTATACTGAAGTACAAGCTGCTGCACAAAAGTACCCCAAAAGAAGAGTAAATGTGTAGGGATCAGTGGCTTAGTGCTGGTTTGCAGAGTCCTGCTGAAATACCACTATATGTCTTTCCCTGTCTCCTATATTAAGATGCTTTAATGATTAAACGTATGAAACACAGCAATTAGTAAAAAAGCAATTCTTTTTTTAATGCATGACAACATTTTCTAGAGTATCGGATCTTTACAAAAAATCATGCAGGCACGTTCTGAGTCTGTGGTTGTGCCTTTGTGTTTTATAGTGACAGAGGGGTGCATGATTGTGCATTAGGCAAACTTGTCAGTACGTATTTGTTCATTTGCCTTTAAACTTATATGAACTTCAGTGACACTCCAGTCTAAATACAAAGGGTTTAATGTGATATCAGCCCACCTTTTGCAGCTATAGAAGCTTCAACCTTTCTGGGGAGGCTTTCCACAAAGTTAAGGAGTATGTTTATGGAAATTTTTGACCATTCTTCCAGAAGCGCATTTGTGAGGTCAGACACTGATGTCGGACAAGATGGCCTGGCTCACAGTCTCTGCTCTGTTGGGTTGAGGTCAGGACTCTGTGCAGTGCCCTCTCCACCAAATTTTATACTTGTCACAATACAGTCAAACAAGTACCATTCTCCTGGCATTTAGTTCCACTTTGTCGTAATCCCAGCAGTTTATGTAGTTTTGAAAATCAAGCGTCTAAAGCCTAGGTGCCTGTTATTGTTTTATAAACACGCTGGAGCCTTAAATGTCAGGATACTGATAAATGAAATGACTTAAATGTAAGATACCTAAATTATATACATATAAAGAAAAATCAATCCTCATTATGCTTTCTAAGATGTTTGTTAAATTTGCCAAATTCAGCCTGTAGCACATTGACGCTTGCTAACAGGCACAACATTCAAGAGCTTTTACTCCCTAAATGGATATCTTTCTGGAATTAAACCACTGAATTGTGACTACTGTAAAGCAGAGGGTTGCAAGCATGATCCCAGTTTGAGTCTGATCTTGTGTCTCATTTCACCTTGGCTGACCTTTTTTGCAGCTTTCTCTCTTACTATAGCTACAGAAACAATATTTGACTTGTTTGTTTCGGACCGAGATAGACAGAGAATGTGGTTTAAGGAAAGAGAGGAACTCTTTAAAACACATTAATTTGTAAAACTAATTAGATGCATGATGTTTAACGATATGAAATAAGACAAGTTAAGATGAACTGAGAATGAAATATATAATATATATATATATATAATATAAAAAATGATGTTCAGATTAATGTGGTGTTTAACTGAGGCACTCTTCACAATGCAGCTACAGCTGATTCAGATTTGTCACTCGTGGCATCCCATTTCTATCTGTCTGAGACTGGCTTGTTGTGATGGGTTTATTTCAGTGCTTGTTTTGTGTTGTGTTGTGTTGTATATACTAATTCCACCAAAAGGAAAGTATAAACACTTGGGCAATAAGCCCCATCTCATACTGCATCTCAGAGTTTGTGGATGGGGTTGAAGTCCCTAAACGAGGGCTTGAAACCAGTCTAGAAAATGTTGTTTTCTGTAGCATTACGATTCTCTTCATTTGTACTAAGGGGCTATCCCAAACCAAGGAACACCGCCCCAAAGGAGGCTGTCATTATGCTTTATGTACATACAGTGTATACTGTATGTACGTTTGTACATAAGAATGTATATTATCCATTAAACCGTTGTCTTCAGCTGGATTGGGCTGGAGTATATACCAGCTAAGATGGGGCGAGAAAAGCGATATACCCTAGACAGGTTACTTATCACAGGGCTAACACAAACAACCATTCACAACCCACATTCACACATTTTGGCTTCTGGACTTTTGTAGCCAATTTCAAATCACCAGTTTAACTAATATTAATGTCTTTGGACTGTGGGAGGAAGCTGGTGTACCTGGAACGTTCTAACTCTGCAAATGGATTCAAAACCAGGACTTTATTGCTACAAGGCAATGATACTAACCATCACACCCCTGTGCCTTGTGCATTCTTCTGCTCCCAAGTGCCATATAGGAGAAAAAAAATGCAATAATTAAAAAAAACCTTTTTAGCCGGATGTCTTGTTTGTTTTTCATTCATATGGTCTTATTTTTAAAACTAGGTGATACAGGGAAACACAAGAACAGTGTTTTCTCTCTAACCACTGACAGTTCATATTTATATCAAATATAGTTTCATCCACGAATAATTGACATATATGACCATAAATTCAGGATTAAATTTAAATTATCATAAAGGGAAAGTAGAAAGTCTAAGTCGCAAGACAAAGTGGGAGAAAGACTTATTCTTTGACAGTCTTTTATACAGTGGTTGGAACTGAGTGAGATAGGTGTGCGTGCGTGTGTGTGTGTGTGTGTGTACGTTTATTTGGGTTGAAGTTGAGTCCTCTATCTAATGAATTATTGACCCGTTCTTGGTCTGTTGTCTGCCTCTTATATCACTGCATCAAGGAGCTACCTCACATCAAGACCTGGAAGGGCGCTTGTGTGCGCGTCTGAAAGAGGGAGAGAATGAGCTACCAAGGAAAGAGATGTTGCTCTAAAAAAGACCAACTAGTCTCCACATGTGTGTATTAAGTGTATGAGGACTTTAAAGTGTGTAATCCATAAACTGTGAATAAAGGATAGATGTAACGACTGTTACATAGCCCGCCAATTAGTGAAGGTCCACATTTAAATGACTGATCCACGTGTGTTCAGACCGTCAGTCTTTTAAAAATATATATTTATAAGAGATGTGGGATAATACTGACTGAGAAACTGAGAAAAGTATAGCCTGACTTATTGTCTCCTTAACTATAATTAATAAAGACTATAAATCCATCAGAAAAGGTAGTTATTTCATCCATAAATCTAGTAACCAGGAGCTTTGTTCTGCCACAGACAACAACACTGGCTTTTGTCTTTATAACCTATACAGAATTTATTTTCACAGATAGTTACAATTTTTTTTCACTAAAAAAGGTAGAATATTTGCTGTGCAAGTTAGAAAGTCATCTTTCAAGCTGCATCCAGAACAGCTTAATTTTTGTAGTTAGTTGTAAAATCTGTAAATATTAAGCACACACTAAACAGATGTTACAGTTATAAAGCTGGGTTGCTGTAGGTTAGATTAGTAACTAACGTATTGTATATTTTAGCTGTAGATTATTCCTCTTGTCTTGCAGATTTACACATCTTGTAACACAGAAGGCAAATCTTATTTTGAGAGCATCTTCCAAAGATATAATTATCCCTATTTTCTCTCAAACCCCTTATATTTACTACCATCAATCTCCAGTCTCTTCTCTCATTCTACACCTCTAAAAGACCCCTTAGTACCATGTCTGACACTTCCATTAGACCTCAACCCAGACCCTGAAAAAACAAAACAAAACAAAAATGTCCTCAGTCTATGAACCTCCTTGGGACCATCATCAGTTTCACCTTGTTTGATATTAATGAAATCAACACCAATCTAAGCTCTCTGCCCTCTCTGCCTGGTAGAGGCGGCACGACTCAGCATCATCTGTTAAACATATCAGAGCCTCAACATAATGCGCTGCTATTAGAGATAATTACTATAATTGCAGCTATTGACAGGATTAAAGGCATCATCTGCAACATCTAAAGGGCCTCTTGTTGTGTCCTATTCTGTTCTGTTGTCTCTTGTGTGTTCCTTTTTTCCCCTCTGCGTCCTTTTCAGGATAGAAACCAGATGAATTACACCTAGGACAAAGAGGGGATTGAGGAGTATGGAGAAAAACTGGGGGGTGGGCTCAGGGTAGCTTTGTGGAGGTGGGAAATGGTGCAGAGAGATAAGGAGAATGGGAAGAAGGAAGGCAGAAGTGTGAGAGAGAGATAAAGCATTCAGTGAGCAAGTTGAAATCTGACCAGAAGACATAGTTCTTACCATACAGCAAGATTACAGAAATTAATCAGTGTGCAAATATGATCACTCCATCTCTTGTATCTATTACCGTAATTGCAGCTAATTACAGGATTAAAGGACACATCTGGGTAAGATCTAAAGGGATCCCCCACTCCTCCCCCACTCTCTCTGGTCCTCCATTCATTTGAGAAAATGAGAATAATGTCTGGAGAAAAAGGGATGCAAAAAGAAGTGTAATGTTTGGTTGCAGGTGAGGTAGGAAAGGCAAAAATGAAACAGCATATAATTTATTAATATATATTGCTCAAAAAAAGAGAAGATGACATACAATCAAATGAAAAAAAAGTTTTTACAGGATTAATTCAAAAACCCTTAAAAAACTCTGTACACCCTGTGATTCAGTAGCTTATAGAACCATCTTCCTCTTTAGCAGCAATAACCAACTAAGAAGTAGTTGGTGTGAGGTACTTTTTAATAAAGGTTGTTGTTGTTGCTAATCATTTTATCAAATGCATTTGATTACCAGCAATTGGCTGCAATCATCCTGTTAGTTCCTATGGAAGTAGTAAAAATGTACATAGTTTTTCACAGGACTACAAAAAGTCCTAATACAAGGTATTATTCTAATCTTCTTAGATTAGTATGGTGCATTTAATTAGCTCTTAATCTGACTATGGTGCTTGTATTAGCTGATATTTATCCCCAGTAAGAGTACAAACTTTCATCAGTCTTTCCAACCATCCCCATGCACTAAGCACAAGAAAAATCCAGTTAATTGCTTATATGTAACCTCCTTTTTTCTAAAATAAAAAAATCAATAAGCAATT